ATATACATTTAATAATGAAATTTTCACTTCATATTCTTATTTTAAAATAAGCCCATTGTAGGGCCTTCTCTTGATACGTTACCCAAATAGCGAGTTACCTTAAATATTATATTTGATCTAATCTAACACTTGTCAGCAAATTGAACAAATCAAAATTGCGGCACCGCATTATACCATCCGTCTTACCCCGAGAGTTGTTTCTCTCCCTCCAGTTACAGCACCATCCCCTTAATCTTATGTACAGGGTGCCCCAGAAAAAGTGTTAGTGCCGAAAAGGGGTGATTCTGGAGGTGTTTCTGAACAACAATTTCCTTTGCTAAAATGCAAAGTGAGCCGTGGTTTCTAAATTATTAACAAAAAAACATTGACCAAAAGGAGTACGTGTGGGGCCCGCGCCCAGCCACGGATAGATTGGCATGGCTCATGGCGCTTGGCCGTGGCTTAACGCGGGTCCTACACGTACTCTTATTGGTCAGTGTTTTTTGATAATAATTTGAAAACCACGCCTCACTGTGCATTCTGTCAAAGGAAATTGTTGTTCATTAACACTTACAGAATCACTTGTCTTCGGCTCTAACACTTTTCCTGGGACATCCTGTATATCCATGAGGATTCGTTTACGTATATGAAAGTAGGATCGTACAGTAGAATGAGATTTTGTAGTGAATAACGTCCACACACACACACAATATCATTCAAAGAACGACGAAAGGGGATTTCCTTAAATCTCTGTAACATAGAGAGAAAAAATCGTAAAGGTCAAATTTTTCTTTTAAATTAAAGGTAAAGAATCGAGTTTTCATTTACAATGTACTACGTCTCTGGAAAAAAATTATTTAATTCCGTTTTTGATAATTTTTTCAATTTCAGGCATGCCTTAGATTTAAGCATTATCTATCGTAGGGTTGTACAGAATTAAAAATCTCTGGATCGCGATTATTCATTGATTTTCACTGAAATGATTCACTGAATAATTATCTTCCAAACTTAGGCAATTTTCGACATAAATTTTGTCATGCCATAATTGTTGTAAGTAGTCTACATGTGCATCTGTCTTTATTAAGTCTCACAGCTAAGAATGTGATTTTGGTTTCTTACCCTAAATACAAACTATTTTATTGCACGCACACGCAAGTCACTTCCTTTGCACACTCACTCTCAAGCCTCTCCTATCCTAACGTATACATAAAATATTACAATTAAGAAGTTATATAGACACTATTCAGTGAAAACTATTAGATATGCAATGAGTTTGAATAAATTTATATGTTTCACTGCTTGAATATACGTGACGTTACAAAAATTATAAGAAGCAATCGAATTTATTTGACGAAACTGGTGTTCAGTTCAGATTACTTAATCGAAATTACAAGAACAGTAAAGAATGTCGAATACGTAAAGAAAAGGAGTGGAAGATATAATTATTGTCCACAATTACCTGTTGTCCATATTTCCCCGTCGCCCCATGACGTCAATAGCTACACATTTTTAAACACTATCAACTATTTAGTAAAACAGCACAGCATTGTTGTAATTATCTTCGATAAACTAGTTTCGTTTATTGGATATCATCGTATTCAAAATCGTTATCAAACACGGACATTAACTCCTGATAATTCCGGTATCTCCAGTTATTTGTGAACGTAATTTATCTCGCGGTATAGGTCACGGTTGTTTTCCATTTAAATCTTGTACGCCTAATCAAAGGAAACTAAATGAAGCTTCGTTACTAAGAACCGAAGAGCACTTTGGAACCTTTGTACAATTCCGTGAGTCTCCTCTAACTAATTTCTATCCGAAGTGGCGTCCACTGGCTATTTTTAAAATTCTGTGTCACGAAAATTTTGTCAACCGCTTTAGGGCTTTGTAGTTCCTTCGCATAGGAACGTATCAGTTTGTCACTTTGGCACTGTCATTCACGCTCTCGACAATCATTCATTTCAATGTTGTGCAGAGAAATTGCTTGGCAGGCGATTACTATGAACACTCCTAGCTAAATAAGATACACGTTAAACTAATGAAGGTAGACACGTTGGACGAGTTGAACTCGCGGATAATCGTTGCCTACGCGAAGCATAAACTATTAGTTTGATATGATACGTGTCAGCACTTGTTTATACATGCATGTATGTACATAATACAGCACTCATACGTTATGCATCGCCCGTGAGCAATCAATGTGGTTGCAAACATCACAATTAATATAAGTTAAAATCCATCATTGAATGTAATATAAGTACCATTGATTGTTTTTTTATAACTACAGAAAAGTAGTTTATAAATCTGTCTTCAATGTTCATATTTCTTTACTCTAAAATTGTAATAAATCTTTGAATTTTTATATTTCATCCATTTCTGCTAATTTTATAAAAGAAAACTAATTTAAAACTTACATTTTTGGGACGGGTTTGCTGTTAGGAAGCTTTGCGCTGGTCACTGGTGATCGTTTACTGACAGAAATAAAGTTGAATGATGGTCAATTAAATGATGGTCGGCGGGCGCCTCCTCCAGTTATTAAACGTGCCCAATTTTCAACGCACACAACAGATTAATTGAGAATAACGAGAAGGTGAACAGTGGGGAACGAACGCGCGGATCGTTGTTGCATCGAGAAGCGTCTTTTATGACTGACGCGTCTGACTAGAGACAAACTGGAACGGTCCGTTGCGAAAGGTTTACTTACGACCGCCACGTGTAATTACCCCGCTACGAGTACCTATCTAACTCGAGAACATCAGAATATTTGCCGCACCATCAGCCAATCTATAAGTGCGTTGTGTTTTCTGATTGAAAGACAGATACGAGTGTGTTTTTACACAATAAATCGAAGATAGTCGTTTAAAATTGAAATTAGTTAATAGCTGCTCGAAGATAGTTGCTTAAACAAGATGTTTCAAGCAGAGATAATTCGCCCAAGAGGCGTGCCATTCTATTCTTACCAACCTCGAGGAAATTATAA